TTCATTTATAATTTTTTGAGGAAACTCCATACTGTTTTCCATAAAGTTGTACCAGTCTGCATTCTCACCAGCAGTGCAAGAGGGTTCCTTTTTTTCCACATCCTCGCTAGCACTTGTCGTTTGTTGATTTGTTGATGATAGCCATTCTGACAGGTGTAAGATGGTACCTCATTGTTGTTTTGATTTGCATCTCTCGGATGATTAGTGACTTTGAGCATGTTTTCATATGTCTCTTGGCTTTCTGGATGTCCTCTTTTAAAAAGTGTCTACTTAGGTCCTTTGCCCATTTTTTGATTGGATTGTTTATCTTCCTTTTGTTAAGTTATATGAGTTCCCTATAAATGTTGGAAAAATATTTTAGATGTAGTTGATTGACTTTGATACATAATTCAATTAAGTAGGAACAAATACTTTAAAAAATACTGCTTTAATAAAAAAGAAAAGGTCATTGCTATACTTCAAAATTTAGCAGGCTGTCCAAGAAGTCAAAATCAAATTCATGGGAGTCTTTAGTCTCTGGATATGAAAAAGGAATAGATTCAAATCCTTTAGAAGTGATGTATAAATGTAAGGATAACTACATGCTATATTCCCTTGTAAAAGAAGTTTTGTAACCATTAAAATAGCCCCTCTCGCCTGGCTGGTATGGCTCAGTGATTGTCAACCTATGAACCAGGAGGTCACAGTTTAATTTCCGGTCAGGACATGTGCCTGGGTTGCGGGCTCCATCCCCAGTGTGGGATGTGAGAAGTCAGCTAATCAATGATTCTCTCTAATCATTGATGTTTCTATCTCTCTCTCCCTCTGCCTTCCTCTCTGAGATCATTAAAAAATATTTTTTAAAAATAGTCCCTCCCCACAGCCATGAACCTTATACTGACCGCCCCCCTTCCCATTACAATCCTCTGGAGTAAAACTTATGGGGGTGTGACCTTCTAAAGTTGACCCATAGCAACAATAAAAATCACATAAGGTGAAAAGTGTTCTTGAACATTTATCAGAAGAGCTTGGCACTGGAGACTGATTTATTATCTCTGAGTTTTCCTTCGGTGTTTAATCTGATATAGCCCTCCCTTGGCTGACTACCAGGAGAAGTGGGTGGCCTAAATTTAAAGGCTATGTTACATGAAAAAATATGCATTTTTGAACTTTGGAACCATACTCAGTATGGCTAATGACCATGTCATGAAATCCACTTGAAAACGAATATCCACTAAGAATATATCAGATTCAACTCTTTATCACATCTTACTCCAAGGCATGCACTTACTTAGAATAAGGGAGGGCAGAACAATATTTAAATTTTCTCTATTGGTTTGTTGACCTTATACATTTAGTTGAAATAATGTAAGTTAAAAATGTGTGTATTAAACATGATAATTCTCACCATGGCACAAACATGGTAGGTGCTGTCAAGAACTGAGATCTTACCCTAGTTGCAAGCTAACAGCTTAGCCTAATGCAGTTTCATGGATACAGGCAGAAGACATGAGATTTCTTGGGTCAGAGACAAAGGACTTCATTTTTCATAGCCCTGCATGTAGCACGAGCATCAGCATATTTGCATCAGCTCCTGGATGTCTGAACACAGTGTGTTACAGGAGAGGAACCCTGAGCTTAGTGAAACCAAATATTTTATAGTGAAGAGTAAGCATTTCTGTCCTTTGCTCTGGAGGGAACCTATCTTTGAAGGCTTTTTGTTCTACAAACATCCTTGAAAGGATAGTGTAGGACAAATGACAGTCAGAACCTCTGCTCTCAAGATGTGCAGAAACACAAGAGACCCACGGAGCGTTGTCTCCCAACAGGGGCAAGATTTTACTGTGCTGTATCTATATATATATATATAAAAGGCTAAGTGACCATCCCACTGGCCGACTGGCCAGTACCTATGACGCACACTGACCACGAGGGGGCAGACGCTCAATGCAGGAGCTGCCGAGGTGTGGTGACTGGGCAGTGGTGGTTCTCTGGTGATGCACCCCAGATCCAGAGAGGAGGGAGCCTGATTCCTCACCAGGCCACACAATTCCACCTTCAGCCATGGGTTATGTTGTTGCTGGGGCACTGTCGGCCCTGATTCTGGTTTACTTACTACACACTTGTGTTTGCATTCCACACCCTGTACAACAGCAACTTTGCAGAGTGCCCTCTCGCACTCTGGGACCCCTCAGGGGATGTGGGAGAGCAAATTTTGGCCCCATCCCTGCAGGCCAGGCCAAGGGACCCCACCTGCCGGAGGGGCCCCGCTCACTCTGTAGATGCCCTTCGAGTGACAGTGCCACCTTAGGTGTGGGACTGAGGGAGGTTGGCTCCTGGGTGTATCTGGCCCATCTCGCCCAGTCCCGCCCCGCCAGCAAACTTCTAATTCATTTCCTTTCAATGTGCATGAATCCATGCACCAGGTCACTAGTTGTATTATATTTGGAGAGAGGGGACAATAAGTGAATGGTTTGCTATCGAGGAAAGAATAGTTTTGAGCCCTAGCTGGTTTGGTTCAGTGGATAGAGTGTCAGCCTGGGGACCAAGTGGTCCCGGGTTCCATTAGATTCTGCTCAAGGGCATGTACCTTGGTTGCGGGCACAGCCCCAGTAGGGGGCGTGCAGGAGGCAGCTGATGGATGTTTCTCTCTCATTGATGTTTCTA